TGTAGCGATGTCGAGATCGAACCAGTACTTCAAGACATCTCCGGCGAACATTTAAACAGAGGATCTAACAAAGCTCAGGATGCGAGGTTAGATATCCACGCGCGTGGTTTCTGGGAGCGACATCGTTCAGCATTCTTCGATGTGAGGGTCTGTCACCCTAATGCTGTATCGTATAGGGACCTAGAGCCACAACAAATCTATCGTATCCATGAGAACGAGAAAAAGCGTCTCTACTCAGAGAGAGTCCTGGACATCGAGCATGGAACATTTACACCCTTGGTCTTCACCACAACTGGCGGAATGGGAAAGGAGTGCTTGAAGTATCATAGCCGTTTAGCACAGCTGATTGCCATCAAAAAAGGGGAGCAGTATGCCAAAACCATCTCATGGATCAGAACCAGAACCTCATTCGCACTCTTGAGATCTGCGTTGGTTTGTCTTCGAGGCTCTAGGACCAGAAGAGTGCCATGTGACATTAAGAATGTTGATATCGACGTCGAAGTTGCTGAAGGAGCCATTAAATCGGACTATTGATGTGTTTCCTTACTTCATATATATCTTTTTATTTCATTATTATTATTACTATATTTTTTTTTTTAGCAGCTGAAAGAAACTTTTGAATTTTAGAGGTTGACAGTTTTTTTTTTATTGAAATGAAAGTTTTTTTAATTCGAAAAAATTTTTCTTAGTTTTAATTAACTTTTTTTTTTTAAGCTAAAATTAAGTGCTTTTTAAATAGACAGAAATTGTAAATAGTGTTTTTGAATGAATAGTTTTTTCTTTTTTTTAAGCGAATTAATTGTAAATAGGATTTTAATAGTTTTTTAATAAAATTGTCTTAAAAAAAATATTATTATTATTATTATTATTATTATTATTATTATTATTATTAGGCTGACTGGTTCTTGCTTATATGGTGCTTTATGAACCAAATTTCAGCCTGATGTTCTCAATCCATTTGTTCTTATATGCGGGTGTTTACTGTACTATTATTCTAAAAAAAAGGATGGATCAACTCAAACATCAAAACATTATCATTGGGGGGATGGGCATCAACCAAACAGATTCAAACCTGCACAAACATCTATTCAGAACAAACCTGTTTGTTGCTTTGTGAGGACAAAAATTTGCATAATATATATTAAAAATGTCGAAACCTCGGCAAAGGCATAAACTAAGCTATTCCCATGATGCACTGCAAACAATCATTGGGGACAGCAGTTTCAAAAAGATGCGGTTTCGCGGTCAGCGGATTCATTGGTTTCACGTGAACGGAAACTCCATCATGTAAAAAAAAACGATGATAAAAATTAATATGCGGATTCAAATATATTCCGATTTGTGTTAACGGGGCCTCAAATGAATGTTGCAAATAATATAGTTTGAAACGTTGACATTGAGTAACAATAACAATTTATCGTTATATAAGATCATGACTCATTCCTCGCCGTAACGAAAGTTAAAAAAAAAAATGTCTACAGTCTTATCGCGCGTGGATCGCACAGCGAGGCAGAATGTAAGGCCTGGGCAAACGTCGAATCTTAGTCGAACTTAATTCGTCGAATCTATTAATTTTGAAATAAGCGCATACATGGTGCGACGTTTGCCGCAAATATGTTCGACTCAAATCAATTGGTTCGACTCCAGCATAAGTTCGACTTAACAAGTCGGATAATACGACAGTGGTTCGGCGTTTCAGCAAATGCCGTTCTAAATACGCGCTAAACTCAATTCATAAATCATGCAAATTATTCCTCGCGAAGCGAGGCGCGGAGCGCCGAGCGAAGTGAGTTTATAATCTCGTCGCGCGCGAAGCGCGCTCGCAGTGTGTGAACCGCGCGTGGGTCCTAGCGAGCTGCAAACTCGCAGCTCTCATCTTTACTTGCATATATCCGATGGTGTCCGCCATGACATCATACAGTAGTTTGACGTCACGGTGCATTTTTGTTTCTCGGCAACATTCGACTGAAAGCGATTTCGAATTCCCATCAATGACCGAAGCACGCATGAAGAGCTGTCTTTTCATCGTCTGCAAAACAATGTTTACTATCGGCGAATCTCAAGCCATTTCTCTTGCAAACAGAACAGCAAACACAAGAACGCCGAATTGTCAATCCTCGCAGGGGAAGATTTGACACCGAAAAATCCTCTGGAGCGAGAACGCCGACTTGAAATTCAACGGCGCAAGCAACAAAGTTGGATGGAGACAGCAGCAACAAACAGCGGAGCAGAGAGAACATCACTCAATGAATTTCAAATGCTAAAGTTCTTTAAGAGCAAATGGAAGCGATTTTGGATAATTAGCCTTATAACATACGCGAACATCGGTGTAACAAAACACGTTTTGCTCGCAGACGAGTTTGTACGTATCGTCCTAGACTATTGGGCTTCCATTCTTTACATGTAAATGCGATGAAATGCATTTACGTTGGGTTTTCATTGTCCAAACTGCAGTCATTCTTCTGAAAAATATCTTTGAATTCATGTAGGCTCGAAGGTTTTAATAATAAAATTTCGCCAACTCTTCTTGAGTGTTCCACGTGGCCTAGTGGTAAAGCATTCGCCCGATGCGCCGAAAGGCCCGAGTTCGAATCTGGGCAAAACCTCGCTTCTTTTCTTTTCTTCTTTTTTCTCTTTTTCTTTTCGCTTAGTTTTCATTTTAGGTATAACTGTTTTGTTATGTTTCTATATATAGCTTACAATTTTTGATTGACAAATTTTCTTCTCGGCTTTACTTGCTGTTCCCCCCAAGTCCTTCGCGAGGTCCTGCGATTTACGTATTTCTAGTAAAATAATTGATTCAAATTGTAAGGAGAGATTTTCCATGGATTCTTTGTTTGCCTCGAGTGTCATATAAAGCTTTCAAATATTCGCTTTGACGTTGTTCTTAGTAATTCATACTGAATTCGCATAAAGAAGTTTTAGCGCCACAAAAAGGCTCGAGCCATTTTTATAATCCTTTGTTTCATTTGCTTTGTGTTCGCCAGGTAATAATCATAGAAAAGCCAACAGTGTTCCTTAACAAACAAAACTAATTGTTCGTTCTCTTTTCAATTATATACATTTTACGTCAATGTTGACTCTTGAAAGAATATTTAATTTCCTAATAATGGTTTATTTGACTTCAGTCTATTTCTCGTGATTTAACTACCAGACGACATCTATTCATAGTAACGCCTTTTGATACAGGTGCATCTCGTTTTAATTGCGATTTAGTTATATTTATTTGCGAAAATATATTTCATTAAGTTGTTAGTTAAGGAGAGGTGATAACCGAATTTTGAATATGAAAGGTTTTGCTGTCTTGTAATTTTAAAATTAGATCGGTTTTTGTTTAAGGTGAAAACTTCCAATTAGTCTGCGCTTTTCCTGTTTAAACAGCCGATAGCTGAACTTGCAACTTTATTCATATTGTAACACTTTGTACATAAACGCTGTTTTGCTGACCTGGCTAGGTCTTTGTCTCAATACTTTTACTTTCTAATATAGCAACAATAACAAAAGATTTCAGGTAAAAAATAGAATTTGTATTTAGTTTTCATTTAACTCTAAGTAATTTCTGTTTATATTTCTATTGTATTCTTTTGTCTTCAATGGCTGTAAAAATCATATAATTTATAAGTAAGTTAGTTTTTACTGATTGTCGATTACATCGCCGATTATATCGCCGATTATTTCGCCGTGTCCTACCCGAGTTATTGCTATTGATCCGCTAAAGAATAAACGCTGTTGGAACCAAGTTTTGTTCTGTTTTATCTACTGCTGTACCAGTTAGTGGTCTGATCCCGGACCTCGAGAGAAGTGACCGTTCTCCGCAAGCGAGTTGCCATTTGAGTCTAGTTTTCCCCAGTTTTATCGTGAGTCAAGCACCGAGTTCCCGTTGAGCCTAAATTCGTTTCAAAGTGGAAAAACCTTCCGCCACAAAATGTAATGGACTGCGCAAACGTCACAAAAATACTGACTCCCCCATCTGCGAAACGCTATTTTTTTCCCCTGTCGAGCATGCGCTTTACAAAGACAATTTCGCGACCGGGAATGGCGAGCTATCGAAAGTCATTGCTGACATCGCACGACGTGAAGGAAATGTGTTTTTCATGAACACTAAATATAAATGCTTGAGATGTTAATTGCCTATTTGCAATAAATGCTGTTGAGGGATGGACAGCCGGTAAAAGAAAGAAAGACCCGACAAGTAGTGTATTTCGGCATTTCGCCAGCAAGTCCTAGCAGTAACTAGCCGCACATCGAGCGAATAGCACGAGGACAAGTGCTTATTCCCTTGTTTCAATGAAGGGCAACTTGTGAAATAGGATCGACGCAGGTTCGACGTTTCTTACCACGCTGGAATTAAGTCGACTCTTTGTCGAACCTTTTTTAATTTATTGGACGCGACTTAGATTCGACGTTTGCCCTAGGCCTTAATTGTTAAGTTGGCTACCGTAAATGACCTCATAGATACCCACTTCCAAATAAACGCCTCTTATAACAAATGCTCCCCTCTACGCTGATAAAATTGATTTAGACACCCCTACGAGAATTACTACAAAATACTTCGATTGAGAAAAAGGGATCAAAATCATTCAATCCATTCAGATTCTTGCTTTTATAACAAACAAGGCTTTGTGTATTTCGTCTTGTTCAATGTCAAGTTCAAAGTATGGATAGACTAACGAAGGCATAATACAATAACCCTGAGCGAGGATTCTGACATCGATGTTGGAATTTGAGCGATAAGGATCTCTAGACGTTTCGGCAATGCTGCCTTCTTCAGGGGAAATCAGCCTTCCCTGATGAAGGCAGCATTGCCGAAACGTCGGAGATTTATTTGCAATTATCAGCGTTTAACTTACCACCTTCCCACTTCGGCCAGTATAATTATATTGTTACCCATCCAGTTTCGAACCCCGCCCGACAACGGCTTAACGTAATTGAGTGGTGCTATTTTAAACCAAGTTTCGTGAGGGTAAGTGGGCCACCTTAATTTCTGCTATAAGTAAAGTACAATACAAAAGCCAAGATTTAACTGGAAACAAACCTGGTTCACAAATGAATCGTCTGTCTTTCCACCATCTGCATCATCCGCCTTTGTTCCACTCCTGTAATTTTCATTTTTAAGGCGGTCACTGTCGTATATTTCTGCATCTTCTTTCTCCTCCCCAAACCAAAGCTTTTCCACCACCATCTGTGCCACCTCGTTAGAACAACCCAACAACCCTCGTTCACTCTTATCAATGGGCTGCCAGTTCTTAACCTCGTCGGCATGCACTTGGAAGATTGACGGATCCACTTCAATTCCTTCAGTACTATTTTCGTTGCGATTGAATGGCAGACCAATGAGAGATTTTTTCAAGCTTGTTTTTCCTGCCCTATCCTGACCAATAAGCAATATCCGAGAACGCTGAACACTAACAGCTCCATCTCTAAGAGCACGTTGATACACAAGCTGCGCTCTTTCTCCTCGGGCTTCTATTTCCTTGGGAGCTACAAAGAATACAAAATTTTAAAATCATGTGTCAAACTTAACCTTTGTAAATGTGTTGTTTTACTTGTCACGTCAGTCTTTGTTTATTAGAACCAACCGGTAACCCGCAGATCATGGAGGCACAGTTTCACAACTCACTAATCCCGTTATGAGCAAATACAACTGCAAATCTGCATGCTTTGTTCAAACTTACAGAGCGGACACTCAAACCGGGACACTTGGAAGAAGATTGTCCAATCACAACGTTTTCTGAAAACAAGATGCTCGAGTTTTTTTGCATACGGGCCGTGCAACAACATCCATTTTATTGGTCCGTCTGCAAAAACACTTGAGAATCTTTTATTTTGAGAAAACGTTGTGATTGGACGATCTTCTTCCAAGTGTCCCGGTTCGAGTGTCCGCACTGCAATGTACTTGTTTAGTCTTGATGGTCTTTTTACCCACAGTAATGTTCTCAATATGATTCAGTGTTTACCGACTACTAGCAGCTGCTACTCAGATTAATGCTAACAATCAAGAACATAATTAAAGAAATCTTACCATAGAAGGTAAGTGAATTGAAAGTTACTTTTTATCGTTACCTTTGGAGGGTCGTGAGTTCGATTCTAGTCTGTTGATCGGAATTTTTTCTGAGCTTTCTGGTGTTAGATTTCTCCTTCTTCCAAATTAATGCAGTTTAAGTTTTGTTTTATCAAGTTGCATGATTTCATTTACATTAAACATATGATTTTCATGGATGGGCATTAACAAATGCTGCTTCGCTTTTTCTTGATCTTGTTTTATTTACATGTAATTCATCGCCTTTAGTATAAGTAACACAAAGTAGCTAACTTTGTGCAGTTTAATTTTGATTTGAGGTTTTCAAAAAAAACTTAACTATTATAAACTGCCAGTTATCTTTTGGTTTGAATGTTTTAGTTTTCAATGAGAACAAATACTTTTGTCCCAAGATTTTTAGTGCTTGCTTCTTTCTTCTTAATTGTCTGATTTTCAATATTAGAACTAAACAGTAAATGTAGGAGCTGCTCGTAAGGTGTTTCCTCATTGGTTGCAGAAATCAAAAACACATCATTGTTTATCATTATTTCCCATTATTTCACAGTTAGGGTACCGAACCAATTGACATTTAGGGTTAGGAGAGCTGCTACAAGCAGAGAATTATAGCAGAGGAATTTTGGTAGTCACGTGACCGTACGTCTACCCGTCGCACCGTCCGACTATCTGCATCACAGCATCACAGGGCGCCAATGTAAACAATGTAAAATGTCACACTTTCTAGCTAATGTGGGTACTTTCAGCCTATCTGAAAGTCAATATTTTAGTGTACATCCATGTTTCTATGTAGATTACATATAATCAAATGCGCAATAAAAATAAATAACTTATCAATTAAATATTAAAAATAAAACATACTTTAATTTAAAAGGCACTCAAAAATTCATTACAAAAAAGGTACGTATATGCAATAAAATGTAGAAATAAATAAAATTATAGAATAGTATACGTATAAAAGTTACTAGCTTTCATTTGACTGCAGGCGTAAGTTTTTTTTTGTCAGCAGGAATTAAGTTGATTGTTTCTTGGTTACGGTGAAAGGTGAACTCTCTCAGAGGGCCGTTTCCTGAAAGTCACAGTAACTACCAGACCTGGAAACATGCTTTATTCAAGATCGAAGTTTAACATTTAAGGCAATTAAATGAAACTATCCATTAGTCAGACAAAGTATTTTACGTCTGTAAAATTTAGCGACTTCGCAAAGCTATACATTCGTTAGCTTTCAACAAATCACTCTCAACTTGGCAACTTGCTGTTGTAAATGTTTCATTGAATTTTCATTGATATCATGATTAGGACTCAGTCATTGTTCCTTGTCCCGTGCCGCTTAACTTGTTTTTGGAAGCCAGTGAGTTTGACTTTATTTAACTTCACTCTTTGATTAAGCACTGAACTTGTAAGAAGATTCTGTTTTCATGCAGTGTTTTTCAAGGTCATTTAGGTCTTAGATTTCGAGATACCAATTGCCGCTGACCTACTATACAGTACAGGTTCGATTACAGAGATTTCCTTCAATAACCCAAACCAATTGACAGGTATGATTTAAATAAATATCTGCTGTAAGTGCGTGATTTAACTCGAATTTCGAGTATGCCAATGCGTGGTGAACTCAGAAAGTAGAGGGCGAACTTATAGGGGGCTAATTCACTAGGAGGTGAACTTACTGATATTCCTTGTTTTTGGTCTTAGATCACAGGAGTCAGTCAAAAATAATGCCGCGTGAATCAAATATTTTTCAAGATTAAATAGAGAAAATAAAATATTAATTCGTGTGGTCAAATACAGTTTTCAAAAAGAAAAATGAGTCTGCGGCCTTTTAGTTTATGGAAAATACTTGTTTGTGCTAAAACCCCATACATTTTTTTTAAATTTACATCAAACTGATTCGACGGCGCGTGTCTCTGATCGCTAAAATTGCTGCAAGCCCTAGTCAGTCGAGCAGCACACTAATACTTGGGTCTCCTGTGGTTCCTTGGATGTCCTGGCGCTATTTAGATGTTACAATCTGGACTGATCTTTTTCAGGGAGATTTTTAGAAGTTTATTTCTTATTAATGTAATAAGGGTTCAATTTAACTTAGCCTTTATTTGTCCTCACCTGCAATATCAGTGTACAGTCCTCTTTTCTCCAACTTTAGAGCAAACTTTATTGCATCAACAGTTAAAGGATTACCAATCACACTCAGGCTCCTCAGCTCCTTTAGGTCACCAATCCCAGCAGGCAATTCAGTAAGATTGTTTCCATCCAAGTACAGTCGCTCAAGCCGGTTCAGCTTTTGAATACTGGTAGGTAAACCAACCAACTGGTTGTTACTCCCTTTCAGCACCAACAGCTCCTTTAGGTCACCAATATCAGCAGGTAATTCAGTAAGATTGTTTCCATCCAAGTACAGCTCTCTAAGCCGGTTCAGCTTTTGAATAATGGTAGGTAAACCAACCAACTGGTTGTTACTCACTTTCAGCACCAACAGCTCCTTTAGGTCACCAATCTCAGCAGGTAATTCAGTAAGATTGTTTCCATCCAAGTACAGCTCTCTAAGCCGGTTCAGCTTTTGAATACTGGTAGGTAAACCAACCAACTGGTTGTTGCTCACTTTCAGCACCAACAGCTCCTTTAGGTCACCAATCTCAGCAGGTAATTCAGTAAAATTGTTTCCTTCCAAGTGCAGCCCTTCAAGCCTGTTCAGCTTTTGAATACTGTTTGGTAAACCAACCAACTGGTTGTTACTCACACTCAGGTGACACAGCTTCTTTAGGTCACCAGTCTCAGCAGGTAATTCAGTAAGATTGTTTCCATTCAAGGACAGCCAGCTAAGCATGTTCAGCTTTTGAATACTGGTAGGTAAACCAACCAACTGGTTGTTACTCACATTGAGCATGTTTAGCTCCTTTAAGTCACCAATCTCAGAAGGTAATTCAGTAAGATTGTTTCCATTCAAGGACAGCCGGCTAAGCATGTTCAGCTTTTGAATACTGGTAGGTAAACCAACCAACTGGTTGTCACTCACATTGAGCACGTTTAGCTCCTTTAGGTCACCAATCTCAGCAGGTAATTCAGTAAGATTGTTTCCATTCAAGGACAGACAGCTAAGCATGTTCAGCTTTTGAATACTGGTAGGTAAACCAACCAACTGGTTGTTACTCACACTCAGCCTCACCAGCTCCTTTAGGTCACCAATCTCAGCAGGTAATTCAGTAAGATTGTTTCCATCCAAGTACAGCTCTCCAAGCCTTTTCAGCTTGTTAATACTTGTTGGCAACTCAGTCAGATTATTGTCTTTAAGCGTAAGTTTCTGCAATTTAGCCCATTCATGAGTGACTTCATTAGGTAACCAGGATAGTCCTTCTCTTCTTTTCAGCTCCCGAAGTGCTTTTAAGTATCCAACAGTCCATCTATTATCAAAATGATGATCGTCCATGTGTGACAGGATTATTAAAGCAGACTTTTCCTTTTTATCATATAACTAAAATGATAAAAAAATCAAAGAAAGACTGTCGTCAACTCGTGGGTACGTTGTTTAGAAAATAATCAATTAGTTATCACCTCTGGTTTTCCCACAGTAAATTTTAGGAAATGATAGAAATTCAGATTATAGATATGGTATCCTTGTTCTGGAAACACAATACTTTTCTTGCTGTTTATTACACTTTATTAACAGTTATTTAGGTATATATTTAAAAACAAAACAAAACAAAAACAACAACAAAACAAATAACCAAACAAAACAAAAAAGAAAAAGAAAGGAAGAAAGGAAAAAGAAGGTCCTTATCAGAATTTGAACCCAGTACCTTTGGATTGACCCGACCTCACGTAGCCACTACTCCACTGAGGATGATCACGTGATTTGGTGAAAAGTCTCAAATTTAATGCCTTTTCCATGGAACTTCCGCCGGCAAACGATCGAGCCATACTTAACCGATTGAAAAAACGACTCGAAGCAATGGGATGAAATTAAGCCTAATTGAAACCAGGCTACTGACAGTAAAAAACAATGTAAACGCGTTTCATGGCAATCAAAGAACATATGCGATACAAAGCCGACACAACTCCTCCGCGAAGTAGGACATAAAACATAAGCTTATGTTTTCTTATCTCGATTTCCGCTGTTATTTTAAAGCTAATGCTCAAAATCACATCCATTTCCCCCCGTGATCTTGGGGAGTCCTTAAGAAGAAGAAGAAGAAGAAGAAGAAGAAGAAGAAGAAGAAGAAGAAGAAGAAGAAGAAGAAGTGCCTATATTTACCATACATTTATTCATACACATAACCTACTACATTACTACAAGGTAGGGAGATCAAGTCAGCGTCGAAGTTGAAGGAGTCGAAGAGCAAATGCTCATCTTCTCGTCAAGTTTAACGCCTGGACGAGTCAAAGGCTCTTGAATCGTACTAATCTGAAAGATTCCTACGTGTCTTAAATTTGGTAAGACCTCTATCCTCTAACCGTGCTGCAGCGCACGATGCACGCTCTCAGCGAGGAATTTGATGCCACCGAACTTGGGCGAGCGCGTACTTCTTTGGAAACGATAGATCTTCGCACTCTCGAGTTCGGACCCGAAGTGCGTCTACTACGAGTGAGCGAGTGACTCATTTGCATATCCCTGTCCCTGCAATAAAATGTGCAGTAAGCAAATTAAACATTATTATCAGTCAATGTTTGTAAAAACCATGTAGGTGAATTTTGTAGTAAAATAAGAAAAGAAAAGAAATCTGTTGCTATTGTTGTTAGTTTTCAAAACACATTATTGCATGACATCTTCCTGTATTACACTGATTACTCAAACTACCTGCCCAGGGTAAGCTAGGCCAGCATTATTTCATGTTGACAACAAAATTATTCTCAATGAAATAAATGAATGATAACTTTATTTAAACACGGTTAAAATCATCGGTCTAACATAGAAAATCAATTTAAAATTCTCAAAAACTGTTTTACATATTTGCCGTGTGGGAGTACTGATCAGAAAACCATCTATGGGAACTTCTCTTAAAGACACCTAAGGAATTCGATGTACGTACATTTGGTGTGAGGGCAACAAGATTGTGGAATGCACTGCCAAATTCTTTAAAGAAGATTGAATGTGTAGATCGTTTTAAAAAGGTCTTAATTGACTTTTATGCTTCTTCTTAATTTTCTTTGTTGTATTTTTATTGTTTGATAACTTCCTATTCACAACTTTAATTGTACTTTTTACTGTTGTATTTTTAATTGTAATTTTTCGGATTATTATATGTATATTTTTAATTGTGATTGTTAACTTTTTATAATGAGGGCCGCAGGTTTGTCAGTTTACTGTTTTGCGTTACCCTCTTTAAATAAAGTTGATACATACATACATCAGTCCAAAAAATGTGCAAAAATTACGCAAGCAGGTTGTCATGGGAAACGAGTTGACAATTTATGTTAACAATTATCTTTATTTTTGGGAATGGTTTAGGGACCGGTCTTAATGTAAGTTGGGGGGGGGGTGGAGGAGAAATTGGGGGGCCCTCAATTTTTTTTGGATGGAATATGGGGGTCCTTAAAATGCCAAAAGATGACCTTGGGGGACGGGGGGGGGTCTTCAAGTTTCTTTTAAGTAGCACCCCTACTGAGCAGCATGATGCTTGAGTATTAAAGGACCTGATTTAGATTCAGTTTTACACAAAGTCCTATATTGTGTAATACTAAAACAATTTAATCAGCATTTTGACAAAAAGACTTAATGCTCAAATACTAGGTGCATCAACCCAACATCCATTATTGTGTAACACTGAAACAATTTCATCGGCATTTTAACAAATGATTACATGCATAAAGTCATGTTATGCAATCTCACTACCCGAATCATTATTTGTAGATGAGGTTGATGTGGACTCACTGTCTGAGTCACTGTCAAGTTTTTTTGCTATCAGAGCATGTACTGCTCATATAAAAAGCAGTAAGCTTTGGCTGATTATCTTCTTTCTTCCTTGAAGCGGTCCTGTCGGCCTCTAACCTTTCGATGGCTTGTCTTATCTCAATTATAACACAATCACTGATATATCCTTGCTCTATACGCTGTTTGAGAGGCTCTAGGTGAAATATCTTTCTCAGTTTAGTGTGAAGTGCTTCTCTGTTGTTAGTTACCACGTTCGGAAGTGACAGTGAGTAAGAACGGTAAAGTAAAGAAAATGTTATTTATTATTACCATTTGGGTATTATGTAAGAAAGGGGGGCTCTTAAATCTCTTAACATGATTGAAGGGGGGTACCTAAAAAACACGGGTGCTATTAGTAGGGGTCTGGAAATAATTTGGGATAAAAAACAATTTCTCCTCCATCCCCCACTCCAACTTAAATTCTGACTGGTCCCTTACTAAACTGATATGAATTCCAGAGAACTTGGTTTACGAAACTGATATGACTGATTATTAGGAAGCAATTTGAGAGTGCTAATTCTTTAATTGTTGCCTTAAGTTTCATGAGCAATGTAAATACAGGGATTTCAAGTTGCCGGGTAAACAAGTAGGAAGGGGAATCAAACAGCTAGGGATTTCTTTTGCTTCTATTTTTCTTTTATTTTCCAATAAAAGTAGCCGGGGGCCACACTCATAGTAGCCGGAGGAAATCCCCGGCCCCCGGCTCTTAATGACAGCCCTGTAAATATACAGCTATTTCGAGAAAGGTTGTCAGAAAAAGTGCATGCAATCGTAAAAGATATTGTGGGTGGCAATTTTGAGTGCAGTACAGTACCGCAAATGATCCCGAGACCGTAGATGATCCCCAAAATGGACCGCAAATAATCCTCGACCGCAAGTGATCCCTAAAGTCGACCGCAAATGATCCCGTGAAAACTTGAGGAATGGAATGGATTTTCTGGGACTGATTATAGAAAAGCAACCTTTTTCTCCCGCTTTCTAAAGAAAAAGGTAAAGAGGACGCTACATCTCAGGCCAATTTTCCGGTCGCTGAAAATTTTAAGACAGGCAGGACGTTACCATGAAAAAACTCTATTATTTTAACGTCTAGAAGTTCAACTTGTCTACTGAGGAATACCCGGGCACCCTCTACATAACACGCACTTTATTGACTTTACTGATCTTTTTGGAAGTGTGAAATTAATTTCAGATAATCAGTTTGATTTTCCTCTAATTACGTGATAAACAGCAAGACATTTGTTCGTAACTTGGGTGCCCGTTACGAAAAAGAACATGATTTAACATGAACACAAGTCAAAATGCCCCCGAACTTATCAATGTCCACAGGTTTCGGTTTATTTCGAAATAGGGACTTGCTTACAGCTCATGAACACGTTTTGAATCAGGGGCGGATCTAGGGGGAGGGTGCAGGGGGTGCGCACNTGCAGTTTTCTAATACAACTGGTATTCTGCAAAAAAAAAAAAAAAAAATTGGTTTATTGGTGTTGAAGTCAAGAGCAAGAGACGAGTGCACCCCCTCCTAAAAGAAATCCTGGATCCGCCCCTGTGAATAGTTACATTGTCGCTTATATGTATATTCATTTGTTGTGCCTTTACTGGAGACAGTTACCAGAAATCTAAACCTGGTAATGAGAAACGCAAAAGCGAGGTAAGCAGTAGTTATCACGTGATAAAACATCGTAGGAAACCGTCACATTCACGGCCTAAAAGAAAATCGTTTATAGTTATTCGGATCCGGGAGGCACTTTGAAGAAAATTATAAAACCTAAAACCCTTATTTAGCGACAATGAAGAGCATTGCATTCCAAAAGAGGTCAAAGGAAATGCTCTTGCATCAAAGGGCAAATCATGCCGACAAGAAACAACAATAACCGCAGAAAATGCGTGTCATGACCTCTCAGTATGAAATATGTGGCAAAAATCACATTTGCTCAGTCAGAACGTTTTCTTCGGAGGTATAATCTACCCCCAGAGACAAAATTCATTGGAACAAGCAGCATTTTAGCATGAGGTAAAAGTCGTGTGTTGCCTACCGACTTCGTTTTTACACTTGAATGTTTTTTTTTTCTTGTATTTATTTGAGAAGTAAAATTTAGGTTTTAATCTGACTTTTTGTAATAATAACAAAATCGACACGATGATCCGCTAACTTGAGTCCAAGTCATTCCTATTAAATTCGGGATCATTTGCGGTCGACTTTGGGGATCACTTGCGGTCGAGGATCGTTTGCGGTCCATTTTGGGGATCCTTTGCGGTCTCGGGATCATTTGCGGTACGTACTATACAGTGCACTGTTGGCTACAAAGAAATTTGAAAGAATAGCACAGGGGGCCACGGACATACCTTAGAGTCACCGTAAAATTCTGAAAATAAGC